GATAAAAAAAGAATTATCCAAATCGGTCCACTAGCGGCGGAGTTATGCCGTAACACACATAAAAAAAAAATTAAAAAAAAAAAATATACCGTCGAATTGAATACCTCCTTCTTTTGGGAAGTCGGTCAAAAATAAAATTTTCATAATTTCATGCGGATGAAGTCGCACGGGAACAGCTAGTCCATACATAATGCGAAAGTTTTGAAGGATTAACGAGTACGTGTCTTTTTTATTCCCTCAAGTAATTTATGATTTTTCTATGTATATCTTTGGGAACTGTTTGCCTAAAAACAAAACAATTCTCAAAAAAAAAATCACTAAAAAGTAACGAAATAATTACTTGAAAATAGTAAACCTACCTTATTGTAACTGTTATGTCTATATTGTACAATTATTATTACTTTGATGTCGGTGTCAACCAAGGTATGCAGTGATATTTCTACGTAAGGCTTTCTACTTTTTTACCATAACAATTGTCAATTGAAAGTATAGTAACGTTTAAGTAATGAATCTACATTGACTGACACCGACTTCAAAGTAATAATAATCTTCTTTTGGGAAGTCGGTAAAAAAGGCATCGTAGTATTTCAAACTTGTTACCTTCTGTAAATATAGAAGTTGTTCCAAATATACTAAGCGCGCCATCTATTGATAACTACATTAACATTTAAAGTTAGACATTGTGTACACAGCTTTATATGAAATTTTTCGCTCCGACGATTATATTCGCATTTACAACACTAGGCCAAGTATGTTATTGAGATACGTTTCTCAAGTTATTCTAAGTTATATGACCCATTTACTGATGCATTAGACTAAACTACCCCCAACTGTTTAGTCTCGCTTTGTTTCCTATGAACTTACATGAAAGTGCGCAAACTCGATTTTTAGTTATGCAACTAAACAGTTGACAGCTGAGAAACAATCGACAATCGCACAACGGTCGTGTGATAGTTTAGTCAAAGGTGTGCGCTCTAAGAGTAAGTTGCTAATAGACGTTCTGGACATTAGTAGTAATAAACATCCATACATATAAACTTTCGCATTTATAATATTAGTAAGATAAGTCTTTTTTTTCTGTATTTTACGGCAAACGAACGAGCGACCACAATTCGCCACAATAGCGAAGCAAATGCTGTCTATAGACATCTGCAACATGCTTATACCTTTAAAATACAAAAGAGGGGACATAGAAAGAGGATAATTCCTCTGGAAATGCGTCCCTTTCTCTACTAAATCCTTTTCCCCTTAGCATCTTTTCCTTGTACGAAAAGGAAAAATGAAGATTTAAATAATCTGCAGTTATAATTTAACTTTACCTTGTCTCTACTAATATTATAAAGAGGAAAGATTTGTATTTTTGTATGTATTGAAATAACTCAAAAACTACTGGGCAGATTTCAAAAATTCTTTCACCATTAAAAAGCTACGTTATCACTGAGTAATATAGGCTATGTTTTTAGGTTTTTTTCTACTTTATGCGGACGAAGTAACGAGCAACAGCAAGCAACAGCAACGGGTATAGACATACTAAAATTATAAAGAGGAAAGATTTGTATTTTTGATTAAAAAAAATAGAAATCAGTGAGTAACATAGGCTATGTCTATTATTTTTAATTTCACTCGGACGAAGTCGCGAGCAACAGCTAGTTTGTATTCTTCCTGAGAATGTTAAAGTTAATTTTACTTGTCATTTTACTCGCGAAATGTCTCCGCTCCACTTGTCCAATAGAAAACTGTAACTGAGGTGAACGAACTGAGGTTCTCACGTAACCACGCCGTTAGGGGATAGAATTTCAGCTTGTAACATAACATAGGAATATTATAAAATAATTAATTAAACGGTATTTTAATTAAAAATTATCTTGTAATTTTACTTCTTACTATTATTATAAATGCGAAAGTTTAGATGGATGGATAAATGTTTCAATTTGTAGCGTAAACTGCTGAACGGTTCTCGATGAAATTTGGTATAGATTTAGAGGATAGTCTGGAAGAACATATAGGCTACTCTATTTTGGTTTTTTAAAACTCCACGCGGACGGTGTCGCCGGCGAAAGCTAGTAAATTATAAATGCGAAAGTTGAGATGTATATGTTTATTAGAGTTTGTATCCTAAACGGCTGAACGGATCTCGATGAAATTTGGTATAGATGTAGAGGATAGTCTGGAAGAACACATGAGATAATCACTTTTATTTTAATTTAACGCGGACAGAGTCGCGGGCAAAAGCTAGTAAATTATAAATGCGATAGTTTAGATGGATGGTTTTTCATAAATGTAAAACATAGTCTGGAATAACATAGGTTTGTTAGTTTTTGGTTTCGAATTTGAACGCAATTTTTATTGTAAATCGATTAATAAAAGTTGTGCGATGGTTTATTCAAAGGTGTGCGCACGCTTAAACTACTGAATGACAGCCCAAGCCGAGGTCTCTCGGAGGCCCCTGTTAGTCACTCCATGGAGCGTCCACCGAAGCGATCTAAGAGCTCGGTGGCCTCCCAATCCGGTAATAATAACGAAGTAACGGCTCGTGTCGAGGCTCCTCGGAGACCCCTCGACACTTGCTTAGGTTTTTATATACAGTGGTAGTGCCCGCTTTAACATCTTAGCACGAATGGGCCGGCACGCCCCCAGTAATACCACGACCACACAGAAGACATGCGTGAAATGGCACCAATGCCGTGTTTCGTCTGATGAGTGTGGTGCCGGAGGCCTAATTTAAGTCCCTTTCTCTTTACCACCCTATTCTTATGAGAGGATGGGAAGGGGTAGTGGATTTGACGATGGAGGAGATGCATAGGAAGAGGAAATATCCTCTTTATGTGCGTCTCCTCATCCGTCGGATAAGGAGGCGACGCATCTGCAATTGCGGATGTCTATGGGCAGCGGTCGCTTTGCCATTTTGGCGTATTCAGGTTGCCGCTTGCTCGTTTGCCATCTTATGTTATAAAAAAAACGAGGTTTAGGCTAAGTAAGGAGGTGAATCTGTAAATGCCTCTTCAAGGTAAACAGTGGACAATCAGTCACAAAAAGCTTAAAGTCAGTCGAAATGGTTAATTATTTTAGACCACCCATTGCGTTGTGGATTGCATCAAAGAGTTATTCATTAACAGACATCCGTTACAGTGTCGTTTTACATCCTTTCAATGTAGTTATTCAATTTTATTGATCAGTGACTCCTCTGTGTAGTTTTAGTGTTTACATTATTTTGATAGATATCCTTATTTTAATTTCTGGTGGTATGGACATGTTATGCGACGAAATGATGGGGGACATAAACCAGAAAGTGTTAAGATTGAATGTGGATGGCTACAAAGGAAGAGGAAGACCGAAGAAAGTATGGATGGATTGTGCGAAAGAGGATATGCTTAAGAAAGGAGTGGATTCAGATATGGCTGATAGAGATGTATGGAAGAGCAACACATACTGTGCCGACCCTCCATAAGGTATAAGGGCAAGTGGATGATCCTTATTTTTATTTCTATTTGCTAACTATCGACTATGATGTCAGCGTTTATGTATACATATAATAAAATTGGTGTGTCTGTAATATCAAAAGAAAAATTCCATTTCAAGAAGAAGATGTATTTGCGTTGCTGATAATGCAAATCGCATTTAAAAATATTTTGTCTGTCTGTCTGTCCGAAACAGCTAGGCCAATTTCGAAGGGACTTTCACTGAAGGCTACCTGACGTTCATGGGCATATTATAGGCTACTTTTTTTTTAAATTCCGCGCTGTCGAAATGGCGTAACAGTTAAAGTTTCGATGGATGGATATTTGTACAGATGTAGAACGTATACAACACAGGCTACTAGTTGATTATTTTTTGTTTTAATACCGAGCAGAGTCGTGGGCGATAGTTAGTCTTACTAATATTATAAATGCGAAAGTTTAGATTAGAGAGTTTATAGCCTAAAGTGCTGTTTTATCTCGATGATTGTCATAGTTTTGTTAATTTTAATCCACGCTGACGGAGTCTCGGGCTAGTAATATTAAAGGGGAGCGTTTTCTTTCGAGAATACTGATATTTAGTTACTTTTTAATGTATTTCCTTTGACAATATTATGTTTTAAACTCTGTTTTCCTTTTGATTTATACTTTGTTTCATATAATGTAAGAATGACACGCATTTAGGTACAGTTTCAATATATTACAATTGCAAAGTGGGGTCAGCAGTGTCGACTTAATTCGATATTTCAGTATTAAGTCAACTATATTACTGTGAAGTGTGGATATATGCCATCTCTTTCTTTCCTCTTTAAGAACACAGAGACAGCTGTAAAGACGTCACTTTTGTACAGATTAATTAAACCCTTGACTAACTATCGCATACTGTGCGATTGTCGATCGTTTCGCAGCCACAACTGTTTAGTTGCACAACTAAAAATCGATTTTGTGCACCTCTATATAAGCTCATAGGAATCAAAGCGATACCAAACAATTGTTCGATAGTTTGGTCAAAGTGCGCTCTTACTTACGATTTTTTACTTTATCAGTGGTAGAGCCCGCTTTAACATCTTCGCACGAATGGGCCGGCTCGCCCCCAGTAATACCACGACCACACAGAAAACAGGCGTGAAGTGGGAGCAATTCCGCGTTTCGTCTGATGAGTGTGGTGCCGGAGGCCTAATTTTGGTCCCTTTTCCTTTCCACCCTTTTCTTAAGACGGACGGATGCGAAGGATAAGTGGATTTGACGGTGGAGGAGATGCATAGGAAGGGGAAATAACCTCTTTATTTGGGTCTCCTTCCACCATCGATTAAGGGTAGGCAACGCATCTGCAATTGCGGATGTCTATGGGCAGCGGTCGCTACGCCATTTTGGCGGTTTCAAGTGGCCGCTTGCTCGTTTGCCACCTTATAATATAAAAAAAAATGTTTAATTCGTATGGAAACATCTAATCGATAGATTTCGACGGGATTTTTACTGAAGGGTAGCTTTTTTAATTCCGCGCTGTCATTATGGCGACCGGACCCCTATCTCTGGAACGGGTGAACCGTTTTGGACGGGACTTTGATTGTTGGTAGCTCGTAAAAAGTAGATGCACGCGGGAATATTATAGACGACCATTTTTTAAAAATTCCACGCTATCGAAGTTTGCAGGCGACAGCTCGTAATAAATATATTGAAACTAGCTGTTCCCGTGCGACTTCATCCGCATAAAATTTTAAAAATTTCATTTTATTGTTCATATTTGTCAAAATGACATGACAACCTTCCATAGCTTCCTTGATGTTGGCAACAACTTATGGTCTCTTTCCCACATTAGGGTTTTTATCCAAAATATTTACCCCCTAAGTTTAAAAGTGTGAAAATATATAGCCTAAAGCGTGACGTAAGTGTAGGTCTTTTTATTAAAAAAGAGTTATTCGAAGTGTCACAGCGTATATTATAATATAAGAAAACATCTACAGTAGACGAGAGAATTAAAAGTATCTCATCATCATCATCTTCCCTGCCTTATCGGCTCTTTTGGTCGTCCAAATAACTCTAACATCCGTCATCTCAGTCATCACTCCTTGATCGTGTCTCCTTTCACGCAAGCCATCCAACTCTTTTTTTTTATTAATTTACATACAGAAAAGAAATATATAAAAATTTACAAATAAAAATGTCGCCAAACTGCACAGCAGTTTGTTGGCGAAAAACACCCATTTCTTATAAATATACCTTAATGTATCTCCTACTTAATTCTTATATATTTACTAGTTACATTAATCTTGTAATAAATGATGTCTTAATTTATTTTTACAATTTTTTTGGATTTATGCTTTATTATTAATGCTTTCATCTCTGAGAAAGTTAATGATATTATATAAATTAGGTATTACATATTTCGTTGTCCTTTCCCCGTAATAGTTGTTGGCCCGTGGTGTAACATGCCCCTCCCTAACTCTTTTAGTATTATATTATATATATTGGTTGCTTTAATTCTGTACTCTTCTGTCTTTCTATGTCTACCTCTACCGGTGTACCACACTCATAACTAACGTCCTTGTTACGAGATTCATCCCTTATAACATGGCCATACCACGCTAACCTTTTACTCCTTATTGACCGACTTCCCAAAAGAAGGAGGTACTCAATTCGTCGATATATATATTTTTTTTTTATGTGTGTTACGGCATAACTCCGCCGCTAGTGGACCGATTTTGATAATTTATTTTTTATCCGAAAGGTAATGCTTGCAGGTGGGTCCCATTTTTTGGTTTGATTTTTGGAGTCAAAGACTACGACGTAGTTAAATAGTTTAGCTCAAAATCGTGCGACGAAATATCGGGTCATTTTTGCTTTCTTTGCTTACGTAGCCTAAACTATAAGACCTACATAAAAATGATGTATGGAAGAATTGTAGCCCTTTAAATTTGCTAAATAAAAATCCGCGATAGCATATATCTATCTATTAAGGTTGTAGCACAATAACCACTTTTTTTCTCAACCAAAACTTTAAAACAAAAGTATGTAATATGTGTGTGTATAAGTGTCGAGTGGAGTACTATGGTTATTATTTAAGATCTAGTGACATTGATATGTTGCCGTGAGAACTTACGGTTACGGTGTTTTGTAAATTACTTTATTGGTACTAAAAACCAGGGTTATTTCTGACGTTTAATCTATACTAATGTTATAAAAAGATTTGTATTTATGTATTCAAATAACTCAAAAACTATCGGGTCGATTTTATAAATTCTTGCACCGTTAGAAAGTTTTATTTGGGAGTAACATAGGCTGCATTTTAAATTTTACGTGGGCGAAGTCTAGTGCAAAAAACTAAAGGATTTTTTTATATTGTAACGTATAAAAAAATCATTACATGTATTAACTCGTATTTCAAAATTACAGATTAAAAAAGTACACTCTAATCTTTTGATAAATTGAAATAAAAAAAAAACAAAACGACTCAAAAACGGCATTGGCTGCACGCGACTGTGCAATTGCCTTATGTCATTAAAAATAATTAAGCCATTTCCCGCTCTTCATTAGTTGGACTCACTTTGTTTTTTTTTTTAATAAAAATGACGTTATTCGACGTTTCATCGAAATAATAAAATTATAATATAGTAGAAAAAATATACTTTTATTGTTTTAGTTAATTTTTACTATAAATTCAAAAATAAACGCCATTTTTTGTAGTCGATTAAATAAAAAAATCAACAGAAATATCATAAACATACAAAAATAAAAATACAAAATTACCCACATTTCCTTCCTTTTTCAATAAATTCAATTTCGAAAGTAACAAAAAAAACACATCACAAACACAACAACACAATTAAAATAAAATGTCAAACAGCGCGTGTTTTTTTTTTAAATTCAAAAAACAAACGCAGCTAACGCGTGCGGCCAGCGCTGTTACCGGTTTTTGCCCGACTAAATTCTCAATAACTGTACCGAGTTAGTTGTGAAAGTTTTGCTCAAAGAAACTTGAAGTGTAAGTAAATATAACTGTGTGCGTTAAACGAATAAAAACATAATATTTACCCTTTTCTTTCTCTTAAAAAAACAAACAATTGAATCTATTTTTAACGAGCTGTTGACCGCGACTTCGCGTGGTATTAGAAAACATACGAACTATCCCTCGGGAACCGGACATTTCTCGGGGATGAAGCTTATCCCATATGTACTACAGAGTTTGTTTTATATCTGTGCCAAATTTCAATAAGATATGTTGAACCGTTGCAGAATGATCGAGTAAACATTAAAAAACTATATTAATGAATCCCACGGGACCCGTAACTATTCCCGGGATAAAAAGTAGCCTATGTGTTCTTCCAGACTATGCTCTAAACCTGTGCCAAATTTTATGGAGATCCGTTCAGCCGTTTAGGCTACAAACGCTAACAAACATCCATCCATCCATCTAAACTTTCGCATTTATAATATTAGTAAGATTAGTAAGATTAAGGAACCTAGTATATCCATTTGACTTTGTATCACATCGAAATGGTTAGGAAATTAAAGGGCAGACCTTTGACGAAATTATCGCACAATTGTCGAATGTAGGTCGTTTCGAAGCCAATTGAACTGTTTAGTTGTACAAGTAATAATCGAATAATGCACCTCCATATAAGCTTATAGGAATCAAACTGAAACTAAACAGTTGTGCTATAGTTTAATCCAAGGTGTACCACGGTCTAATACGGCGAATTTTTCTGAATCATTACATTTCGCGGTATATATCTATATATATCGCGGTATATTCTGAAAAATCAAACTCGACTGTTTTTGTGTTAATATAACCTCAATATTTCGTAATGATACGTTGAAAGCTGCATTCGATATTTAAATATTTTATGCCATTACCGATTAAAAAAAATAAACTAGTTAATTAGTCTGTGTTCTTTTAGAACAATGTTATATGTATGCCAAACATTCTGCATGCAGTCGTTCTGGAGATATCTTTTAACATACATCCATCCAAACTTTCGAATTTACATTAGTAAGGAGATAAAATAAAATTGGAGTATCTGTAACATAGAAAAAATTCTCAGATTTCGGGAAGATGTTGTATTTGCGTTGCAGATAACGAGAGTCGCATTAAAAAAAATTGTCTGTCTGTCTGTCCACGCCACGTTTGTTGCTGGTAATCATCAAAACGGCTGGGACAATGTCGACCGGACTTTCACTGAAGGATAGCTGACATAGACGGACATAGGCCAATTTTTCTTATCTTAATCTTGGACGAAGTCGCGGGCAACAGCTAGTTCTAAATACAAAGAAAGCTAAATTATGTTTTTTTATAACCTTGTAGATGAAAATACTTTGGTCTAAGTACAAAACATTACCAAGCACGTCTTAACCAGTTCACTTAACACAACTGCTTTCAAAATAACGGCATCCAAGTTAGTAACTTAGTGTTAAAAAGCCTACTAACCTAACAATATTTTGTATCTGTATTCGACATATTTAGAAAAATGAATCAGCGTTAAATATTACTAGGTAAAAATGATAATTTTGTATTTCGAAAAATGTAGCCGAATGGAAATTACGCCTTTGCATTATTCTGATTTTAACACGCCAATTTAAGTTACTAACAGCACACTGAACTATCGCACAACGTTATGCGATTGTCGATTGTTTTGCGGACAATTCAACTTTTTAGTTGCACAACTAAAAATCGACTTTGGGGCCGTCCATATATTACGTCATTCTAAATTAGTGGGGGGGGGTTGGTCTGCGGATGACGGTAAATGATAGATAGGAGGGGGGGTGTATCGAAATTTTGTTAGCCACGTTAAGCTATACTATTATAATAAAGCGTAAACACACACTTCTTTGTTGCCTAAGATGTCAGCAATTACAGCATGTTTACTTTTCACTTACGTCACGCTTTAGTATACATATTTTCACGCTATTAAACTTATTTGTTAAATAAATTGGATATAAATCCTAATGTGGGAAAGAGACCATAAGTTGCTGCCAACATCATGGAAGCAAGATTGCAATTGTCATCATGACATGTCATTTTGACGTTTGCAATTGATAAATTGACAAATATTAACAACTAGCTGTTCCAGTGCGACTTCATCCGCTTGAAATTATAAAAATGTTATTTTATTGTTTACATTTGTCAAATTATCAATTATAAATGTCAAAATGACATGACATGATGACAACCTTGCTTCCTTGATGTTACCAGCAACTTATGGTCTCTTTCCCGCATTAGTGTTTTTATCCAAAATTTTTACCCCCAAGTTTAATGGCGTTAAAATATATAGCCTAAAGCGTGACGCAAGTGTAGGGCTTTTTATTAAAAAAAAGGATTTTTCAAAAATATGGTGTAATTGCTGACATGTTAGGCAACAAAGAAGTGTGTGTTTACGCTTTATTATATTAGTATAGATAAAATGAAGTTTTTATAATTACCTACGGATGAAGCCGGAGGGAACAGCTAGTCTTCTAATAATGTAAATGGGAAAGTTTACATGTTTGTTAGTTTCTATCTTAAACTGCTGAGGTCTTTATGATTGTAATACATGAAGACAAGTCTGGAAGAACACACAGGGATCACTTTTTTAATTCTACGGGGAGCGTCGGGGGCGAAAACGATTAAAACAATAATTTTGGATTGTTTATTAACTTTATTATATCTAGGAAAGCTGAATTATTTGCTTAAAGTTACATCAACCAGTGGTAGATGCATCTGCTGCATCCGTGCTGGCGTCTGCTGCTCCTCCTGAAGCATCTGGAAGGTGGAATTTCATTCATCACCAGATCACTAAATCCCCACTAAGGAGAGTCTAAGTGAGACTAGGTCACATGTCTTTGAATTTCTTCACAGATATGTGTAGTATGTTTCCTTCATAACATCAGGTAAATTGTACAATCGAACTCAGGATATGTAGATTACAAGTCAAAAGCTCCAACAACTGAGCCACCGACGCTCATGTATAATCAAGTCAAAAGTCTTTGAGGCCTAACACCTGGTTTTAAGAATGACCTTGTCGTATAAACTGACAGTATTCGAAATTTGCAGCTGATTTAATGACCTATGGTTTCGATAGTTTCGGACTTAGTTTCGGTTTCGGTTATGACTAAAATGTAGCCTAAACTTTCGGTCCTGTCGAAATTTTCGTGCAATTTTAATCGCAATCTGATTTTTTACAATTTCTTTTAGGAAAACCTAAATAATTCTATTTGTGGAACAAAAATTACTGTGATGAATACTGTAAAACAAATTTGTTAAAAACACACACAGTACATCATTTCGGCCGAAAAAGTTAGCAAGGCCGAAAGTTCGTTTTCGGTTTCGTCTGAAATAGAGACCAAGGCCGAAAGTTCCTTTTCGGTTTCGTCTGAAATAGAGACCAAGGGCGAAAGTTCGTTTTCGGTTTCGTCTGAAATAGAGACCAAGGGCGAAAGTTCGTTTTCGGTTTCGGCCGAAACAGGGAGCAAGATCGAAAGTTCGTTTTCGGTTTCGTCTGAAATAGAGACCAAGGGCGAAAGTTCGTTTTCGGTTTCGGCCGAAAAAGTTAGCAAGGCCGAAAGTTCGTTTGCGGTTTCGTCTGAAATAGAGACCAAGGGCGAAAGTTCGTGTTCGGTTTCGGCCGAAAAAGTTAGCAAGGCCGAAAGTTCCTTTTCGGTTTCGTCTGTAATAGAGACCAAGGGCGAAAGTTCGTTTTCGGTTTCGGCCGAAAAAGTTAGCAAGGCCGAAAGATCGTTTTCGGTTTCGGCTGAAAAGCCAGTTTCTGTCTATATAACTATAATGCGTTTACCAGTAGTGACTTCAGAACCCGCCGACCCTGCAGTAGTCAAAGCCTCACTTGATTTGATGTTTGGATCCCTGAAAGAAGATATTGACACGAAAATCTATACATTTGTGGTTTGGTAAGTAATACAAACATGCTGGTATATTTGCATGCCAGTTACTGACACGTTCCAGCTACAGTATGATTTTGTTGATTGCGCTAGTTGTAGGAAATGTTACTAATATTATAAATGCAATAGTTTATATGTTTGTTAGAGTTTGTATAACAAACTGATTATGGATGGCTACAAAGGTTGAGGAAGACTGAAGAAAATATGTATTGTTTGAAAGAGGATATGCTTAAGAAAGGAGTGGATTCAGATACGACGGCTGATAGAGATGTATGGAAGAGCACATACTGTGCCGACCCTCCATAAGGGATAAGGGATAAGGTTATACATGTAGAGGATAATCTGGAACACATAATTTTTTTTTATGGAGTCGCGTTCAAAACTTTGTGTTTACATTTCGCAACTGTACTTTGTCTATGGTTTGTATTTCAACGGAGAATATGTTACTTACTTAATCTCCATTATACTTTTCGTAACTTCCTCATTGCCGACCATAAACACAGCTTGATACACGCCTTCGTATGTTGTAGCGTATTCCGTTATTCGTATCTTAATAGATGTGGACGTCGCCTTAAAGAAGTATAATAGTATTCAAAGTTTACAGCGGCTCGGAATGCACGTTTAACATACTAGTATTATAAATGCGAAAGTTTATATGGATAGATGTTTGTTGGAGTATATAGCCAAAACTACTATACTGATGTTGATGAAATTTGGTATAGTTGTAGAGGATAGTCTAAAAGAAAACATTGGTTGCATAATTTATAATTCCAAGCGGATGAAGTCGCGGGCGAAAACTAACACTTATATAATAAAGCGTTAAGACACGCTATTTATATAGGATGTCATCAATCACAGTATGTTTTTTAATAATCATTTTTTAATAAAAAGCCTTACACTTACGACACGCTTTAGTCTAAACATTTTCTCTCTATTTAACTTAGGGTTTTAATTGGAAAAAATCATATAGGATAGGGACAAAACTTATCAACCAATGGCATCACAGAATCAAGATAGTAACGGTTATTATTATCCAATAGCAAAGTATTGAATATTGACAATTGAAACAGGCGAATATAAAAGTGGGTACTTACAAAAAAGAAGGCAACGGATCCAGTGTTACTTCTCCGCGTTGAAGTCGGCACGGGAATGCCATTAACAAATACCTGCAAGAGACAATATTTAAATAGATATCAATATTAAATGACCCCAATAATGTATCAAAGCAAAAAATCTGATTGCAGACGCAATTCTGCATGTCGTATGAGTGATAGATCCGGAAGCCTAATTTTAAGTCTCCTTCCCTTCCCACTCTATTTCGTATTAAAAGGATGAGAAGGGGAAGTAGAATTGATAAAGGATGGAACATAAATACAGGTAATGTCCTATTTCTATGCCTCCGCCTGTTGAAAGGTGGGCAACGTATATGCAAACGCATCAATGGGCAGTGATTTATTCTCTATTTTGGCAAATTACGGTGGCCACTTGCTTGATCCTTATACTATGAAAAGATCATAGCAATGCACATATCAGATGCAAGAAGGTGGTTTACTGAGACATAGTGAATTGAGACTCATTTACACAATCAGTATTGCCCGTTGCCTAGTATAAAATTATACCAATAAGTGCCTCGTACAGTCTGAACAACTTAAAGATCAAAAAACAAGTATCTTATATACTCAAAACAAGTAAAAGGTCAATAACAACTGAATAAGAGTCTCATATAGTCTAAACAACAAAAATTTCTTGTATAGTCTAAACGACTAAAGTATCTTCTTCTTATCGAATAAAGTGTCTTGCTGAGTCTAAACAACTAAAGTTCCTTGCATAGTCTAAACGACTAAAGTGACTTGTAAAGTCCAAACTAAATTGTCTTGTATAGTTTAAGTCTTGTATAGTCTAAACAACTAAAGTGGCTTGTATAGTTTAAACAACTAAAGTGTCTTGTAAAGTCTAAACTAAAGTGTCTTGTATAGTTTAAGTCTTGTATAGTCTAAACAACTAAAGTGCCTTGTATAGTTTAAACAACTAAAGTGTCTTGTATAGTCTTAACGAATAAAGTGTCTTTTATAGTCTGAACAACTAAACTATAGTATAAACAAACATTATGAACTAATTCCCTTACCTTACTAACAGTACAGTCATCGCAAACATAAGTTATTTCTTGTTCGAACTGTTGTCCGAGCGGCGGAGATGATACTATTTGGGACTGTACCGTTACACCTAGAAAATTACAATAAGTAGTGGACAGCCCCGGCTTTGCACATGCCCGAAGATGCGAAAAATGTTTTTATACGTTTATGTTTTTTTATACATACATTTATTACTGTTCTATACCGTACACTAGCTGTTGCTCACGACTTTGCCTTCGTGGAATTAAAAAAAAATATTTAAAAACGTATGCCTATGCTACTCAGTAGTAGTATGTAGTATTTTAATTGTGCAAGAAATTGAAATCGGCCCAGTAGTTTTTGAGTTAATTTAAAATATATGAAATATAAATCTTTCCTCTTTACAATATTAGTATAGAAGTATACCTTAGTAACTAAGTAACCTTCTTGAATCACTGCATTAAAAAAAATGCATTAAAAACTATTGCGTAGTTTTAAAGATGTAAAGACAGACAGCGGGATGCGATTTTTTTTTATACTATCTATACTTCTATACTATTATAATAAAGAATAAACACTCATATACACACAACAATCTTTGTTGCGTAAGATGTCAGCTATAACAGCATATTTTTGAATAGTTCTTTTTTAACAAAAAGCCCTACACTTACGTTACTCTTTAGGTTATATATTTTCACGCCATTAATCTTAGGTGGTAAATATTTTAGATAAAAACCCTAATGTGGGATAGAGACCATAAGTTGCTGCCAACATTAAGAAAGCAAGGTTGCCATGGTTTGTCATCGTGTCATGTCATTTTGACATTTGCAATTGATAATTTGACATATGGAAACAATAAAATATTTTTTTCATAATTTTATGCGGATAAAGTCGCACGGGAACAGCTAGTGTAGTGATATAGAACGTTTATCAAGGTATTATAATATTCAAACTTTATAAAGGCTCGAGAAAATAATATGTTTAACGTACCTTGAGCTGGAAACGTAATTTACAATTAGAACATTTTATTAATAACTATTACTACATTTTTAAATAATTTTGATGAAATAGTTCCATCAAATGATTTCAGTTTTTGTGCTAATAGATTCTATAGATAAGCAGATTTGTCTTAATTTATTAGTATTTTATGTACAGTCGCGACAATCAGCGGTGTTCCATTTACAGAAAATGCTTTGTTCCTTACAACAAAACAACCTATTACTACGAATAATCAATAGTTATAAATTTCGATACAAATGACTTTATAAAAATAGTCGAGTATATGAGCAATACTTGTTAATTACTTTAAAACAAATACATTAAGGCAACTACGTAAAGGATATCGAACGTTCCGTGGTGACGACTACGAGTTACTGAGCGACTGAGCGACTGAGCGACTGAAGGGACTGAGGGCTAGAGAGCTTGATAGCGACTTAACGATTGCGCGACTGAGCGCTGAGCGCTGCGTCATTCCTTGCAAAGACTTTTATGAAACTACCCACTACTATTTCCGTTTCTATACTAACATTTTATAACAGTGTGTTGCACAAACTGGATAATAATAAAAAAAAACCATATATTGACTGATTATTTTTCATATAGACACATTTAAATGCTATCCTATTGGTTATTGTCCGTCTCAATGCGTTCAAAATGTTCAAATAATTCGGTTTATAGGCGACACACTGACAAAATCCTTGATTGTACTAGTAATTTACAACAAAATTGCGAATTTCGAATCGTGCGCTATCTGATTGGAAATCCGTAACGTTAACAATTAATTCAAAATAATATTTAAACAGAAACTTACCATCATCTGAAATAACAAAGGTCAATTAATTTGTGTTGTAAAAAAATCGCATTTAAAATTTATTCGTCTGTTTGTCCGCAAGCTGCGTTTGTTCCGTATAATCTCCGAAACGGCTGGGCCGATTTCAACTAGACTTTCACTGGAGGGTAGCTGACATAGACGGGCATGTTATAGGCTACTTTTTAAATTTGCGCTGACGAAGTTTGCAGGCGGCAGTTAAAAAATAAATGTCACTGGAATAAAATGCGAAGGATTTGAAAATTACTTACTGTCGATGACGGCTAAAATCTTCTTAAAAACTTTATCCTTTAATTTAAAGAAACCCATGTACACACACGAGTGATTGTCTTCATACCTGTAAGCAAATTTGGCACAAATATAAAGCAAAGTGTGATGTAACATTTGGGATATGATTCATTCCCGAAAACAAGTTTTCGAGGATGTACTTTTTCTGTTTTTAGTATAATAAAGAGGGAACATTTATATTTTGTACATATTGAAATAACTCAAAAACTACTGGGTTGATTTCAAAAATTCTTTCACCATTAAAAGGCTACGTAACCAGCGAGTAACAGGCTGTATTTTTATTCGCGGGCGAAGTCGCGATCAACAGCTAGTTTATAATACTATGCGAACGAAGTCGCGGACAACAGCTGTAAAATAAATAAAGGTAATATATAGTAGAACCTTGGACTATCTTTCTCGTAATATACGCTATCCGTCTACCTGGGAAAGTTGAAGCTGATCATCTTTGACACTCTGATAATTGACACCCTTCCTGCAGCTAAGACACTCTCGCCATTACAAAGTATGTCAGTTATCTGACAGTCGTCGCACGAGTAATGCATCGTGCGGTCGAAGTGACCTCCCACTTCGAATGACGCGGTCAAACGGGGACATTCGATCACTGGACGGAAGAAAAATATAAACTTAGCAATAGAATTCATTATTCATCAACTAGGCCCTATCCTTTACAGAGGGTCGGCACAGTAAGTGCTGCTCTATACATCTCTATCAGCCATCATATCTGTATCCACTCCTTTAAGCATATCCTCTTTCACAAAATCCATATTTTCTTCGGTCTTCCTCTTCCTTAATAGCCATCCACAATCATCCTTAACACTTTAAATAGCATTCATTATTAAAGAAACTAAAAGATCAAAATAAAAGGAAGGTAACTGAGAAAGAAAGTAAAGATATCAACAAGATAGCAAACAAAATAAATTTAAAAATATCATCTTCCTCCTTATTCTACTCCCGTAGTGGCGCAAATTTTGTCCTCCATAACACTTTCATACATCTCAGTCATCACTCCCTTCATCATGTCACCTTTCACACAATACATCTCTTTCTATGTCTCCCTCTACCGGTGTACACTCATAACTAACATTCTCCTTGGTACTTGCGATTCATCCCTTCTCATAACATGCCCATACCATGCTAAATTTAAAAACATACAAGGATGTAATGTAAGACATAAAGAACTTAAAGAAGGGAATTGTTCAGTAAGATTGGTTAATTATTCACATTAAAAGATTAATAATTTAAATCCGTATAGAAGATAAGTGAGAAAGACAGAAAAGACATATGTCGTAAAAAAGAAATCAAGCAAAATAAATCTAAAATATACGAAAATGTGATGTAAAATATCAAGAACATGAAAAAGGAAGGGAGTGTAATGTATAGGTCGTAATGAAATGGCGGTTGGTTTGGGACTGATTTATTCTAAATCAAATGACGGTAGGTTATATAAACCTACCTACATTGAACACAATATATTAAAGGGAGGAAGAAAATAAAGACATAAGTAAAGATGAAAGCAAAAAGTAACTTAAATTACTCAAAAATGTAAAAGATTAACATATCAAGAACGTAAAGAAGGAGTGAAGGAAGGAAAGGAGAAGGAAAATTAAGACAAAAATAAACAAGAAAACAAGAAGAAAATAAACTATTCAAGAATGTAAAAATTTAAGATACTAAGAACGTAAAGAAGGAAGGTAAGGAGAAGAAAAATAAAGACATAAGTAAGAAATAAAATAAGCAAATTGCATTAATAATTTAAATTAAACAGTAACAAACATCATTCTGAATTTATTTAAGTCTGCATATTATATAATAAAAAAACTTACCGTTATCTGTAATAGTTAAAATATTAATAATACTGTCAGCTATAGAAAATTATGAATAATTTAAAAGTAAACAGATTTCTCACCAATATCTAAAACAAATAAAAACAACAGATTAATAAACCATCAAGAAAATTTAAAATTTAAAAAAATAACAATCTAAACCATTATTACCGTTTTCTGAAAAAAAAAGAAAATCAATATAGTCTGTGCTTATTATAATATTCTTTAACACTCACGAAACTGGCTGAAAATATACCTGGAGCTGTAAAAAAATAAAAAAGATATAGTAAAGCATTTTTCTAATTAAAAAAATCCAATAACAAAGATGTTTATTTTTTTCCTTTTTAGTTTTAAAAATACTAATCATACTAATATTATAAATGCGAAAGTTTAGATGGATGTTTTTTAGAGTGTAGCCTAAACGTCTAAACGGATTTCGATGAAATTTGGTATAGATGTAGAGGATAGTCTGGAAGAACACATAGGCTACTCACTTTTGTTTTTTTTTTTGTTAATTCATATATTTTTTTTATAATTAGCACTTACATAATACAGTGAGACCCTTAACTCTCTCTTCAAGACCATCTCCGTTTTGGATGACGAGGAAATAATCACCAAAGTCCTGAGGCTTCATACCTTCCAGATCGATCTCGAGAAACTGTCGTCTAGAAATAAATAAAATGTATGTATATGTATCTAGTTTTATCAATAGGCAATATGCACATTAAATTTGACGAAAAAAAAAGTGGAAACATTTAAAAAATGCATATTCCATATACAATTAGGGATCTGTCAGTGTTCTACAAAAGCTAGTCGTTTGAAAGTTATGTACATAATGAGACGAACAATAAACAATAGGACGGAACTTTTAAATGTGTCTGAAAAAGGTCGGTTGTTTTTTTTTATTAGGTTTTTTATTAGGTTCATTAAACAGTTTAAAACCGGATATCTTTGTTTTTTTTTCTTGTTTCGATGATCTACACAATTTTTATATAAGTAAAACAGTGCGGAATTCCTCGACTGTACATTGTTCCATTTTTAAATTAATTTTATAATCTGTGTTTATTTGAAAATTAGAATAAATTGCTTGTCTGTAATTGGTTTACGAACGATATTTTTGTGACGTCACGTCGAACGCTTTATTCTTGATTCTATCGCTTGTTGCTTTCTCGCTCGCACACAAGGATGTTACAATGAGTTGTAGTTTTTCGTTATAAATCAAAATAATAATATTTACTTACGGTTTGCCCTCTCTGAAAAAAACAATAATTTTTACATTATTAAGAACAATCAAACTGTCAAACTTTGTTTCTACCCCTATTAACTCACCTGTCTATAAACTCTTTTACTCTATGCCTAGAGTTGTCAACATTATACACGTTGCCGTCAGAAGCGCGCACCATTAGATTCAACAATCTACATCGATTGCATTTAAAAGGGACCACTGTACTATTTACACGTTGTCCGTGAAGCAATTCTATTGATTTTGGTGTTATAGTCATACCACTTGGGGCTAAAAAACATAGAAAAAAACATTACGAATCTATTCCAATGGCTTTTGAAGTAAACATAGCTTTCGTCCGCGACTTTAGTCGTGTTAAAAAACTTAGATTGTGTCTAGAATATTCTCTACGTTTATGAAAATCGAGATCCGTCCGAGAACATATATAAAAAATTTCGCAATTATAATTTTTCTCAATATATTTTTATTTCTTTTACATGTGTAATTTATTTTACATGATTTATTGTATAAAAAAATGAGACATATTATATAAAAAAAATAGAACTCAAGCAACCAGTGGTGAGGGCAGAGACAGGAACCTCCTCACTATGCGTGCGGTTTCTAAAATAACCGCCTTTTGTATCGGGCCCTTAATCCAACTGTCTAGCGAGAGCTTCTTGAGGTGTTGGTCGAAGCTCTTCGCTATCAGCCCGTGTACCGAAACGACTATCGAAATAATGGTAGTCATACGCCACATGGCGGTAATCTCGTGAGTCAAATCCAAATACTTTAATAGTTTTTCATTTTTGGCTTTCACGAGATTCTCGTCATGTGGGATAGTGACATCGACTAACATTACACAACTCTCAGACCGATCTATTATTACTATATCAGGTCTATTGGCAGCAATAGTCCTGTCCGTAATAATAGATCGGTCCCAGTAGATCGTGATACGGCTATTTTCCAGAACTGGTGTAGGCTGATATTGGTAATATGGTACCTCAGATTCCACAAGAGCATATTTAAGGGCAAGTTGCTGATGGATTATTATTATTATTATTATATTAAATTTTAGAAGAATGTTTGTTAGTTTGTATTGTAAACTGCTGAACGAATCTCGATTGTTTTACAAGTAAAGAGTAGTCTGTAAGAAAACTTAAGTTTACTTTTTAATTCCGTTAAATCGCGAGCGAAAACCAAAGTATACAAGGTACAAACGTACATAGAGTTAAAAACTTGAGTACTTTCTCCCTTTTCGTTCCAGGTTTCGTAAAACTGGCGAAGAATGGTCCTACATGAGTACTGGACCAGGTTGGGAAGTTTAAACTTATTGTTACCGTGTTCCCTGATACCTCCGCGGTGTAATATTTAGTTGGCAACACTGACTGAAAAGAATAATCATATAAATATTATAAATGCGAAAGTTAAGATGGATGGATGTTTATTGGCGTTTGTAGTCTAAACGGCTAAACAGATATCAATGACATTTGGCATAGATGTAGAGGATAGTCTGGAAAAACACATAGGCTACTTATTTTTGCTTTATTTAATGCCACGCGAACGGAGTTGCGGTGTAAAGCTAGTAAATATTATAAATGCGAAAGTTATGATGGATGGATGGATGTTTATTAGCGTTTGTAGTATAAACGGCTGAACGGATCTCGATGAAATTTGGCACAGGTTTAGAGCAGTCTGGAAGAACACATAGGCTACTTTTTATGCCGGGAATAGTTACGGTTCCCGTGGGATTAGTTTAGTTTCCTAATGATAGAGAAGGTAAGGTAAGGTTAGCATAGGGCGTGTTATGAGAAGGGATGAATCGCATGTAACAAGGACGTAAGTTATGAATGTGGTATACCAGTAGAGGTAGACATAGAAAGAGATGTATTCTGTGAAAGGTGACATGATGAAGGGAGTGATGACTGACATGACATATGCTAGCTATGTGGAGGACAAAAACCAGTTGTAGGATAGGATAAGGAGAATGATGATGGTCATCATCATCATCAACTTGCCCTTATCCCTTACGGAGGGTCGGCACAGTATGTGCTCCATACATCTCTATCAGCCGTCATATTTGAATACACTCCTTTCACGCATATCCTCTTTCACACAATCCATACTTTCTTCGGTCTTCCTCTAACTTTGTAGCCATCCACATTCATTCTTAACACTTTCCGGTTTATGTCCCCATCGTCACGTCGCAACGTCCGTACCACGCTAACCTTTTTCAATTTCTCCACCACTGGCGCTACTTTCAAACTTCCTCTAAGGAGAATGATGATGTCTTCTTTAAACGTGGTAAATTCAACTCACAGTTCCCGAGTTCCGAAGTAAACTGGAATGTTTAATGCGATGGAATTCATATCCTTCTGGTATTATTATCTTGCGTGGACTACTCGTGTAGTTCCTCGCAGTTGGTGGTACCCATTCTTCTAAACTATCCTCTGAAAAAAATTAAAAAAGGTCTATGAACGGCCGAATATTGAAACTTATCTATAGTAATTATTATTAAGAGGAACTACTGGGCCGATTTCAAAAATTCTTTCACCATTACAGCTACGTTATCACTGAGTAACATAGGCTACATGTTCTATTATTTTTACTAGCTTTCGCTCGCGACTCCGACCGCGTGGATTAAAAAAACAAAAGTGAGTAGCCTCTGTGTTCTTCCGGACTATCCTCTACACCTATACCAAATTTCATCGAAATCCGTTAAGCCGTTTAGGCTACAAACTCTAACAAACATCTATATATCCATCCACCCATCTAAACTTTCGCATTTATAATATTAGTATGAAGTATGATTACCAAGCGGACGAAATCGTAATCGCCGTTTACAATTTAACAAACGTTATAATTTTCATTAAATTTTAAATTTAGTCGTGGCATTAACATTTAGGACGTAACATATTTAAATTTCGTTCCAGTATTCGGCCTTCAATCTTTTAAGGTATAGGTTTCAATGAAATTTAACATACATACGAGAGAAATATATTACCCTTCTAAATCAATAGTGTAAAAAGGCATAAAAAACGACCCAAAATTTCGTCACGCGATTTTGAGCTAAACTATTTAACTACGTCGTAGTCTTTGACTCCAAAAATCAAACAAAAAAATGGGACCCACCTGCAAGCATTCCGTTCGGATAAAAAAAGAATTATCAAAATCGGTCCACTAGCGGCGGAGTTATGCCGTAACACACAAAAAAATATACAGACGAATTGAGTACCTCTTTCTTTTGGGAAGTCGGTCAAAAATAGTAATTTAAAAACACTTACCTGGTATTGCTAATTAAAAAAAAATAATTATTAAATTATAAGAAGTTAAAAAAATGACACAAACAAATTAAAAATGTAACCCCCTACCTCATTGCGGGGTAGTTTTAAAACTAGAATTTAAAGATTTTAAATAAAAATAATTTATTATTACATACGTGGTACTATTTCTGTGAAAT